TTCAGCTGGGAGAAGCCGCGGAGCTCACAACGGGGGCGTCCTGTTTCGGGGGGTGGCAGAGAAAACCAGAGCTGCCCCCTCCAGGCCTCTGACTGCAGAGTTTTCTCTGGGGTTGAGAGGCTGCTTTCTGTGCAGTCAGTAGCCTTGGCGACCGGGCTGCTCCCTGGCTGTGTTCGCCCGTCCTCTCTCTGGGAGACAGGTGATCTGTCGGTGCTCCCTTCTAATCGCCGTGTTTCACCTGCAGGGCGAACTCTGCTGGAGAAGCTGTTCAGCCAGCAGGAGAACGGACCTCCAGAAGAAGCAGAGAAGTTCTGCTCACGGATCATTGCCATGGGCCTCCTGCTTCCTTTTAGTGACTGCTTCAGGGACCCGTGTAATCAGAGTGCCCAGTCAAGTTCAGCTCCATTTGATGTAAGTAGGAGAACTCACTTCTGTTCGTGAGGCAGTAGCAGTTGTGATGTGTGTCTGCCCGATCGCCTATAATTTTAAAAACATGTGATGCAAGCCTGCCTGCCCTCATCTCCTCAACAGCTCAGTATGTCTGTTTCTATGCTTTCCTTTTTGACTGGGGTATTCTTAAATATATTTATCCACCAAACCTCCTTTTGGCCACTCCTGACAGTTTTCTAGCCTGCTTTAATCAGTGATGATTTTTAAGTGGCTCTGAGTCAGGGTTTCTGACTTTGCTGGCAAGGACATTCTTTCAGAAGCAGCTCCACAGGGCAAGAGTTTTGTTCCCACTGGGCCGCAGGTCTCCATGGGCCCTAGAATGCTATCACAGCGCGTTCACAGTTCACCTGTGTACAAGATATTGACAGTGGAGCAGCGTTGTCTGCTTTCTCCCCCAGCTGCCATTCACCAAGAGAGCTAAAACCGCGGAACAGTAATTCAAGCTGCATATTCATAATTCAGGACGAATATCAGCACAGCTGGATTATCATTTTCAAGCCACAGTATTGCTAATCTCTCAGGTATGTGGTACGACGCTGATTGTGATTAGTATGTCAGAGATCATACTATATATGAATTCTTGCAGATGAATTTCTTTAAGAAAATTAAAGGTTTGCTTGGCTCACTCGTGTGTAGGTGCGAGTGAGGCAGAGTTCTCATCCGGATGGGTTAGTTACATTTGTTCCATTGCTTCCATCTGTGCCCCCTTCTCTTACAGACTTCTTTAATTTTTATGCTGTTGATCAAGGAGTGAAATGATGATGAGTTTTGAAAGACAATGAAAATGAGCCCTGGCTGAGATCAAGATGCAATCAATACTAAATAACCAAATGTCCGTATGTGCCTGTTTTTATTTTTCTGCTTTTTTACCCATTACAAACTGTGGTTTTCCTTGATCTTCCTTCAGTATTAGGAAAATAAATTGCATAAGGTATTGTGAGACCATTTTGGTAACTTCTCACGTGAAAGAAGACTCCTCAGGATGTGCTGTGACTTGTGAAGCTTCCTTCTTAAGACTTATCTGTTTATTTTTTTAATGATCTGGCAGCTAATCTCTGCTAGGTAGATCTTTTTCTTCCATGAGAAGAATGGGATGATTCAAATGATTTCCTCCCTTCCCTTTGTCCTCCGCAAGCGGTGTGAGGAGTACGGTGGGCTAAAAGTGCTGTAGAGCTGTGTTCTGAGTTGGAATTAAAGTGAATGCAGTACAAAGGCAAACACTAGCTGTGTCTAATGCTTGCTTTTTAATTAAAACTCTCTGGGTTGTCTGCTCTGTCCTCCCTTAAAGCTCAGAGGTAAAGTCTTATTCTGTAAATGTGAAGTTGGAGTAAACTGAAAAGAGTAGGATAATTCTAATCCCCCCC